TCAGGATTAGTAGAAGCATTTGCTTCAAAGTCAAAATGGAACTCCTCCCCTAAGGTATCACTTAGGTTTAGGTCGAAATTGTGTATGGTGGGTGGGCCTAGTGGTGTTGAGGGAAGGGGAATAGGGGGCTGTTGAGTGGGTGTAGGGTTAATCGGTGGTGGGATGGGGTTAGATAGAGGGGTTATAGAGGGTGGTACGGTTAGGGCTAGGAAAAGGGGTCGTGGCGTTGACGATGGTTGGGGAATTGTCACGGCGGCCAGTGGTCATGAAGGAGACGGACCGGCGCCGATGGTGGTGGTTGTGTGAATAATGGTGGAAGGGGTAAAAATGGTGGTAAATATGGGAGGAGTTTGAGTGACACTAACCGGAGTGACAATGGCATGATACTCGTCGTAGTCGACCCGCACGGTGGATGACTGACCGGCGCCGGCGGTTGATGAATGTCTTGTCGGCGGAGCAAAAGCAATGGGGTCCGACGAGAGGGGCGTTGAATAGTGCATCGAGGGAGCAACTGATGGTGGTACGGGAGTGGCAGATGATGCGTCGCCGGCGACGGTCCGGCGAGTAGGCGGACGATAAGGGGGCCGGCCGGTTGGATTGTTCCTTGTTCTAGCCATGAAAAGAGAGAGGAGAAGATGAATAGTGAAACAAAAGTAAATTTCCCCCCTTTTTCATAGATAACCGATGGATATAACATAGGGAACTGCCGTCTTTGCATGCAAAACCTTTGTAAGGACAATTGATTTGAAAAAAATGATGTCATGGTACTAGTCAAATCACCTTACACAAGCCTCTATTTTCAGAAAAATCATCATCACTTTTTTTCAAAAATGAACTCATTTCTTTTGTTAATTTCCCTTTTTCATTTCCTTGGAGGATTCCACAAAAACCCGCCAATATTCAAAAAAAAAATTAACCAAAACCCAATTCAGAATGTGAGAATGAGATGCCTACTATGAGCATACCTGCATGAAATAAACACAAAGTACAATAACTAAAAATATTTACACTATTTACAATAGAAGGTTTGACAATTAATCAGAGAGATTTTTGGCGTGGATCTTGCATTCCTTCTGGGAAGAAATGCTTGACCGGATGCCCATTCACTTTAAAAACCGTATTGTCTTGTGGGTTCAAGAGATCGATAGTTCCAAACTTTCTCACTTCAACAATAGTAAAAGGTCCCGACCATCTAGATTTGAGYTTTCCGGGGAAAAGCCTCAACCTAGAATTAAAAAGAAGCATTTTTTGACCTTTTTCAAAAATTCTTTGATTGATCCTACGATCATGCCACATTTTCTTTTTTTCTTTGTAAATTTTGGCCTTCTCGTAGGCTTGGTACCTCCACTCTTCCAACTCATTGAGTTGGAGCTTTATTTTCTCTCCCGCTAGAGTTGCATTTAAATTTAATTCCTTAATAGCCCAAAATACCTTATACTCTAACTCCAACGGAAGGTGACAAGATTTTCCAAAAACAAGTTGGTACGGAGACATGCCCAATGGAGTCTTGAAAGCGGTACGGTAAGCCCAAAGTGCATCATCCAATTTAAGCAACCAATCTTTACAGTTTGGCTTAACCACTTTTTCTAAAATATTTTGTATCTCACGATTTGAAAGTTCCGCAAGACCATTGGTTTGTGGGTGGTAAGTCGTGGCTACTTTATGTCGGATGTTGTACTTCTCAAGAGTGGTACTTAACACTTTGTTTATGAAATGAGTCCCTTCATCGCTTATCAATGCTCGAGGTGTTCCAAAACGAACAAAAATGTTTTTATGCAAAAATTCCACTACCGTTTTGGCAACATTTCTTGAGCAAGCCTTTGCTTCTATCCATTTGGAGACATAGTCTACCGCAACCAAAATGTACTGATTCTGAAAAGACATGGGAAATGGTCCCATAAAGTCAATACCCCAAACATCGAAAAGTTCGACTTCCAAAATATTGTTCAAGGGCATCTCATTTCTTTGAGACAAATTCCCCATGCATTGGCATTGGTCACAACTCTTCACAAATTCAAAAGCATCTTTAAACATGGTAGGCCAAAAAAATCCACTTTGTAAAATTTTAGCGGCCGTACGTTGTCCACCAAAGTGGCCTCCGTACGGTGATGCGTGACATTCTTTTAACAAAGCTTGGATTTCATCATCCGATACACATTTTCTCAAAATTTGATCCGATCCCAATTTAAAAAGGGATGGATCGTCCCATAAATAATGCTTGCAATCGTGAAGAAATTTTTTAAAHCGGTTTCCCTGAAAATGATATGGTTTAAGGCCACATGCAAGATAGTTGGCAATATCTGCATACCAAGGATTTTGTTTTTGAAAAGTGTGTTGCATGGCCAAAACAAATTCATCCGGGAAAACTTCCTTAATCTCATGATTCCCCCCACTTGACACATTTCCTTCAATTCTAGAAAGGTGACCGGCCACTTGATTGTCACATCACTTTCGGTCAACAATCTAAAGATCAAATTCTTGCAATAAAATAATCCAACTAATAAGTCGTGGTTTCGCATCAACTTTGTTAAATAAATACTTTATTGCAGAATGATCTGTATGAACAGTGACTTTGGTGCCAATCAAGTATGAACGGAAACGATCAAAAGCAAATACTACCGCAAGTAATTCTTTTTCCGTGGTGGTATAATTTAATTGGGCTTCAATAAGAGTCTTACTTGCGCAGTATATGGGGTGAAAAATTTTATTTTGCCTTTGCCCCAAAACGGCACCCACGGCCCAATCACTTGCGTCACATATTATCTCAAAAGGTAGGGACCAATCGGGAGTGATAAGAATGGGTGCCGAGACAAGAGAATTCTTGATTGTTTCAAAAGCCTTTTTACAATCGAAGGTGAACTCAAAAGCTTGGTCAACATGCAACAAGTTACATAGAGGTTTTGCAACTTTAGAAAAATCCTTAATAAACCGTCGGTAAAAACCCGCATGTCCCAAAAAGCTACGAATGCCTTTGACCGAAGTAGGTTCGGACAATTGCATTATCACTTCAATTTTAGCTTTGTCAACTTCCAAACCTTTCTTTGAAATCATGTGATCCAAAACAATTCCCTCTTGTACCATAAAATGGCATTTTTCCCAATTTAAAATCAAGTCATGGGTTTCACATCTTTCCAAACTTTTCGTCAAATTTTCAAGAAAATTTTCGAAATTAGTGGCAATAACCGAAAAATCATCCATAAAAACTTCCATAGTGTCCTCAATCATATCTGAAACATACATCGTTGGAAAGTGGCCGGAGCATTACATAAGCCGAATGACATACGTCGAAAAGCAAAAGTTCCGAAGGGACAAGTGAAAGTAGTTTTCTCTTGATCTTCGGGTGCAATATGGATTTGATTGTATCCCAAGTACCCAGCCAAAAAACAATAAAACTCCTTTCCGGTCAACCGATCTAGCATTTGGTCTATGAAAGGCAAAGGGAAGTGGTCTTTCTTAGTAGCTAAGTTCAATTGCCTATAGTCCATACAAATCCTCCACCCAGTAACGGTTCTAGTTGGGATAAGTTCGTTCTTGTCGTTGGTGATTACCATAGTACCACCTTTCTTAGGCACACATTGAACCGGACTTACCCAACCGCTACTAGCAATGGGGTAAATAATACCCGCGTCTAACCACTTCAAGATTTCCTTCTTAACCACTTCTTTCATGATTGGATTTAGCCTTCTTTGAGCTTGTACCTTCCCAACACTATTTTCTTCCAATATAATCTTATGTTGGCAAAGGGACGGGCTTATTCCCCTAATATTAGCTATGGTCCAACAGAAAGTTTTCTTATGGTCTTTCAGCAAATCTATCAACCTTTCTTCTAGTTCATCACTTAAGTTGGAAGAAATAATCACGGGAAATTTTTCTCCTTCCATAAGATATGCATACTTAAGATGTGAAGGTAGTGGTTTTAACTCCAAATCGGGTGCTTCTATAATGGACGGGGTTTGGGTTGGTATATCTTTAAAATCTAACTGTTCAAAGGCAGCTATGTCCTCAAGTAAATCTTCTTCACAAATGTCTTCTGTCATGCCCACAGTGTCTCCACTGTGGACACAGTCGATCAAACTTAGATCGAAATCTTCACCTACTGAGTAAATAGACGAACAGTCCTCAATCTCCCCATTGAACTTAAGAGTCTTAAACACATTGAAAGTCACCTGCTAGTCATTCACTCTCATGGTCAACTCACCCTTTTGTACGTCAATCAATGTCCTACCCGTAGCAAGAAAGGGTCTCCCTAAGATGATTGGAACATTCCTATCGGCTTCATAATCTWACAYTAGAAAGTYGGCTGGAAAGATGAATTTGTCCACTTTAACCAAGATGTCTTCAATTTTACCTTTCGGATATGCCAAGGACCTATCCGCTAATTACAAAGTCACGGTAGTACTTCCCCAATTCCCAATTGATTAAAAAATGGACAAAGGCATGAGATTTATACTTGCCCCAAGGTCACACAAGGCATGACCTACTTCTTTCCCTCCAATAGAGCACGAGATGGTGAAACTTCCCGGGTCTTTTAATTTTGGGGGAATTTTGTAAGTAAGAAGGGCACTACATTCCTTTGTTAAAGACACGGTCTCAAATTCACTAAGTCTTCTCTTTTTATTGAGGATGTCTTTCAAAATTTTAACATAGCTAGGCATTTGCTCGAGAGCTTCTACCAAAGGTATGTTAATCTGGAGTTGTTTAAAGATGTCCAAGAACTTTTTAAATTGAACATCCACATTTTTGGCCCTACCTAGAAAAGGTAAATCTCTTAGATCTAAATCAGTTGGACCGGTCTTTTTCTGCTGGGTTGTGGGCAGTTTCTGCCCACTATGAGCAGTGTCAGTTGGAGACTGGGTGGTGTTGGAACTGGACAAAGCTGCTGTTTCTAGAACAGGAACTGGAATTTGAGTTTTTTCAGTTGTAGGAAACAGAACTGGAAATTTTGATGTGTCAAAAGAATGTGAAATATTTTCTTGACAAATCGGCTCCATGGGTGTTTCCTATTCGGCATTAGAGTCTCCCAAGTTCTTATCACTTCTTAAAGTCACGGCCTTGACATGTTCCTTAGGTATTTCCGTGTCACTAGGCAAAGTTCCTTGAGGTCTATTCTTGAGATCCGTGGCAAATTGGCCAAGCTGGGTCTCAAAACTCCTCAAGGTGGAATTGGTTTGGTTTATAATACCTTTAAATAAATATTCAAGTGAACCATTACCCTCCGATGCATTTTGTTGCCTAGGTGCAAGCAATTGTGAAGATTGTCCGCTTTGGTACATGTGGTGATTACCTTGCATGTGATGACCACCTTGATGAAATCCCGAGGGATTCGAAGGTCGGCTTTGGACTTGAGTTGCCCCGGGGGGTTGAAGTCCTTGATATCTAGCCCATGAAAAATTCGGATGATTTCTCCAATTTGATTTGTACGTTGCAGAAAATGGGCTATTTCTTGTATGGGTTCCAACATAATTTACCGAAACGGGGTTTCCGGGGCAAAACTCATAAGAATGTCTTTCACTATAGAAAACACAAGATTCAATCATGAAAGAATTAGACATTATGGATTGGACTTGATTCTTTTCCACATTCAAGTTTAAATTATTTTTAACCAAATTAGTTAGAGCAACAATTTGGGCATTCAAAGAAAAAATGGCATCAAGCTCATGAATGCCCGAGGCAGATTTAGAAATGACAGCACGAGGGTTAGACCATTCAGTATTATTATTAGAAATTCGTTCCAAAATGTCATACCCCTCGTTGTAGGTTTTAGCTATGAAAGCACCACCGGCTGTTCCGTCAAGAATAATCTTAGCGGCACTAGAAAGCCCATTATAAAAGGTTTCCAATTGAATACAATGAGGGATTCCGTGGTGAGGACACTTCCTAAGAAAGTCCTTGAATCTCTCCCATGCATCCGATACCGCTTCATCTTCTTCTTGGCGAAACGCCATAATTTCATTTCTAATCTTTACATTCCTTATCGGAGGAAAGTATTTTTTTAGAAATTTTTCCGCCAAATCATTCCAAGTAAGGATCGAGTTTGGTAGTTGGGAATTTAGCCATGCTCTAGCTCTATCCTGCAATGTATAAAGGAAAAGCGTCAAGCATAAGGCCTCTTGAGTAACTCCGGGAATCTTAAAATGATCTGTCATTTCTATAAAAGATTTCAAATGAGAGTGCAGATCCTCCGAAGATAATCCCCCAAACTAACCCATAGCAGAAATCATTTGAAACATAACCGGCTTGGGTTCAAAAGATGTTGCTGTCATTTCGGGTCTACCAAATCCCGAGGCCAATTGACCAAATTCGGGAGTTGCGTAGTCCCGTATGCCTCTATTTTTGTCATCGAAAATATTGATTGTGGCTTCCCGAGGAGGTGGATTATCCACCATGGTACGGTTGGGATTTCGCCGATTGTTCCTACCTCTTCTTCGTCTCCTAATGGTTCTTTCTAACTCAAGATCAAGAGGTAAAATATCACCGTGTTGTAGCCGTGGCATACAACACAGGAACAGTGAATGAAACAACTGACCAAGGCTCTAATTAAAATCAATATCTCAGGATAAAAATCGTGCCAGTCCCTGGTAGCGAGGCCAAAAACTTGGTGTGCTAGAATCGTAAGTGTGCACATAGTGGGCACAAAGTCCCCAAAGTGGCGGTGCAAGTGCACGCCGATACTATGATCGCTTCAAGTAATAGAGTGGTATAGTACCAAGATCGTTTCCGTAGGGACCGGACTTACTGAGAATCAGAGACTTTCATGAACTTCTTGAACATGCTTCGGGTTGAGAAAATAATTGAGTTTTGATTGGTGCAAAGCGTTAAAATACGAAATAAACCTTTTAATTTAAAAGATGGGTATGGGTGTAAGCTTTGCTTAAGAATATTACAGGAACAATTTGGTCAGAAACTCATGGAATTTCTATAAGAATTCCTATCTCTCGAAAGTGAATTCTAATATACTGTGCCCACAGAGTGCCCACAAAGCGTCCAGTTAAATCAATCTTAAACTTGCTGAATTAGCTACTAGATAAAAAGATATCTGGTTCCACTAGCCTGAAGATTTATACTTACAACGTATTGTAGCATAAATTCGACTAATATCTGAACATAAGCTAAAAACATGCAAAACCCGCATCTCTACGTGATTATCAAAGACTCTCTCAAATCTTTGTGCATCATCTAAGCCGTATTTCAGATCCGCCCAWCTCTGGATCAAGGATCTAATATTAACACTTCAAAGTGATCAGCTTATCTGCGTTGATTTAGTGGGAGTTTGGGTCTGAAGTTTTAGAATTATATTTCTTAAAAATATATTAGAGGATTTGGAAAATATCACGTCAAATAGATACATAAACGGATTTTTTTGGGAGATCTTTTCTGGAATATTTTTTGTTGGATGTTATATATTATCTCTTTATGAACGTGTAGGCAAAAACCTCATAGAAAACGGAGGTACGAGCGAAAAGTTATGAATAATTTAAGTGTTGATGGTCAAAATGGGTACCTAGAGGGGCCAACCTGGCCCAACTCGAGTTTTAGCATTATAAATTGGAGTTTTGGCCCATTTTTCTTGTCATTTAAGTCTAGAACTCATGCACACACTAGAGGTACGATTTCACACACATAGGCTTGATTCAACTCAAATCAAATAATAACTACATGATCTTTGAAGGATTTGATCATCAAGTAAGGTATAATCTATTTTTGCACTTGTTTTTGGTTGACATTCTTGTTATATGGATTTCATGTTGAGTTAGAGTTAGGGTTTCATATGGGTTTGATCTTAAGTGTATAAAATGAGTGCATTTTAGTGTTTATGACATGAAATGGTCATTAGATTCAAGAGATTATCAAGATTTATGMAAKTTCATYRTAYGAWCTTTGACTTGATTAAGTCAATGATTTGGGAGATAATATAAATGATAAAATAAAGGTTGGATTTTGGTTGTTTATGTCAAATACATTATATTAAGTTGAGATTCAGAAGTTGGAATAATTTGGAATCGAAATGGTTTGAGAAAAATGTTTGAAAATGATAATGTTGACTTAAGAATGCACTGAAAGTGTGCAGACTTTGAAAAATTGTATAAAATCATAGAAAAATCCAAATGATGTAAGGCCAATTTCTTTAGTTAGATAATTGAGTCTAGTTTATTTCTTATTTCAAGGCATGAATTCGAGCTTAAAATGGGCAAAACAGTTCTGCATGCAGCAGCTGTACATAGAAATCTAAGTAAAATGTTCAAATAGGATAGGTGTATATCATGAGTTTCTTATATTGATTGCTTATGCGATTTTGTACATTTACTCCAGGGGTAATTAAGACATATTTTGATACTTTGGAAGCAATCTAAGTGTGGTAGATTGGACTTGCTTTATGAGCTCAATTCAGAGCTTTTCGGTATTATACGGTTGCCCGGTGAGTTATATAGTTCATTGTTACATATTGATTTGAACATATATATATTTTCATATGAATTTTTTTGGTATTGAATGGAGTCACACGATCTTGATTTGTCCTTGATTCCATCTCTTGAGTTAATTCCATATTACTATCTCGGTACATCGGTTTGCTTTCCGGATCTGGACTCGTTGTTTTGTTCCTTGAATTGTGCGCCATAGTACGAGTACTACTTCGTGTGGCATGTCAGAAGTTTATGACGAAGTCAAGATCCCAGGTAGGATGGGTGAGAGTTTCAGCGGTTGTGAATACTCATTGCTCAGAAAGGAGGAAGAGCAATGAGTAGGGAACCTTGGCACATACCCGGTAGAGGAAGGCAGGCAGTGCCAGGTTTCCCGTAATGTATGATTCTGACTCAAACTTTGGCATGAGCCCGAGAGGTGAAGGACGAGGTGATGCACTGTCCTCGTTATATACACCGATTTGATCTATTGATTCTTGATATTTATTGGTATTCTAACGTTGCTGAATATATTTGGTTGTTTATCATGTCCCCTTGATGTATTGAGCATCAATGGTATGGTATACTATGGTGATTTGAATATGGAATCCTATGATCTTAGCATCCGGTACGTAATTGTTCAYTYGGTTTCTTGTAAGTCTCAGTTTGCATCTGGATGATGTCTTGAACTCTTTTATTGATAAGAGTTTATTATGTATGTTTACAAACAAGTGCGATATTGATATGTAATATTTAACTCACTAAGCATTGGCTTACCATTTAAGTGGCAACCTCTCTCAGGAAAGAAGACGGACAAAAAGAAAGAACCCGTTGTTTGACTTGAAGATTTATCGGGGAACTTCAAGATTACGATCTTGCTTTTGCGTAAATAGTAGCTTATTACCGTATCTTATAGTTGTAGTATGTGTAGCTTATATATAGTCTTGTCCCGTATTCTTTTGCTACATAATTCGGGTTGTAAGTAAAAATACCGTTATATCTGGTTTGGAATTATGTTTCGGGTGGTTTTATCACTAAAATAGAACGGATATTTCGAAGTTTTTTTCTAGAAAATTAATATCCCATATTTTGAGGTTAATTAATGTTATGCCCAGATCTGTGCGTTTCAAAGAGTTCGTCCATTTTCATCGCCTCTGGACCAATTCATCGCCTCTGGTCCATTTTCATCGCCTCTGGACCAATTCATCGCCTCTGGTCCATTTTCATCCCCTCTGGACCAATTCATCGCCTCTGGTCCATTTTCATCGCCTCTGGACCAATTCATCGCCTCTGGTCCACTTTCATCGCCTCTGGTCTTCTTCCAGACTTAGTCATTTCAGCAGCCTCTGGTCCATCGCCTGCCCCTAGACCAATTCATTGCCTCTGGTTGTTGATCCCAGATCTCTCAATAACACTAATAATCTTGTTAATAATAACAAAATTATAGTGATTTGATGAACAAAGTGATGAACACTCAAGAAGAAATTATGAACAATTAAGAACAATCTTGAGCGTCAAAGATTTCACTTTATTAATAAGAAAAACATAAAAGCGACTCTTTTTACAATAGGTCTAATCACCTATTTATACTAATAAGAAGATAACTATCTAATGAGACTTTTTAGCTAATCTTCTATTAACAGATAACGTTTATCTAAACTATGGATAAGCTTTAATATTTAAGATAAACTCGAAGTCTAGCTGTTGACTTGTCATCTCCAGCTGTCATTCATGGTATGATGGATCATCCTTATCTTTAAGTCTTCATCGCATGCTTCAGGATGAATTGCTGGATAATTCTCTAAGTGTAGTTAACCAGAGGGTCGATGAAGATGCTCTTTCCATCGCATCATTGGTCGTCCATCGGTCCTCTGGTTGTGCTCCAGACTTAGTCAATTCTGCCTTGATGTCTTCATCGGTCTTCTGGTTCTTCATCACTTATWGTTTTTCATTACTTTTTCACTCTATGAATTATGGGGTTTAACAATCTCCCCCTAAGTAATGAAATAACAAACGTAGACTAATCTAGAAACAATTGTGAAGAAYAGAGACTAATCTAATAGAAAGACATCAAATTCCAAATTTTCATTGGATGATGAAATTCTTACAATACTGGAATCAAAAGACATTAAGGCAAAACAAAGAAAAATACAACTCATCATGAGCTACCTTGATATATTTCTCTAAAGCGCATGAGCAGTCTTCGATAGCCGATGACTGTCGATATCTCATGAATGAGCTGACTCCCTTCTTCTCTTGGCACGTGGTTTCTATCCAGTCTTTCTCTAATGACTTTCTGAAACCATTCAAGTGTATCCGATGAATACTTGAAGGCCTCAGTTAGTCTAAAGAATTTTTTAACCCCGAAATCGTTCTTGTAAACAAGTCCAAGTTCGGGTTGAGTTAGGGCTGAGGCAGATCTTTTCTCCTGCAGGCCTTGGAAGTATTCGTTTGGTGGAGCACAGGATAGTCTTTTAATGCCTAGCCGAAGAGCAATTTCAAAATCACTCTTGGCTCTATGGTTCACCAAGGTTTCCATCATTTTT